TTTCTCTCCAGAGCTGGGTGCGGTCCTTGTGACTTACGGGGCGTGGCTTCCCTCCTGAGCGCTTTTCCGCACCTCCGGAGAGGCTGTGCGCCTGAGTGGTCTCCTGGGGGGCAGGCTCTTTGACCACGGAGGCCCACCTGGGCACCGTGGAGGTTTCTGGGACCTGCATCCCTAAGCCCGGCTCTGGCTCTGGCCTGGACGCCCAACCTCATCATGGCTTAGGCCTCACTTCCTCCCTCTCCCGGGAAAAGTGTCGCACGTTAGCTCTTGTCAAAGAGTCGCGGTTCTGTGGTGTCAAAGAAGGGCAGTGGCGAGAGGGCAGTGGCAGGGCACTGAGCTGACGGTCTGGATGGAGCATTTCACATTTCTGTGCATCAAGAAGCCTTAGAAATGCTGAAGAGGAATCCGCCGTGGGGGAAAAGGCTCTTGGTCGGCGGATTCCAGCTAGAGCCCGGTGAGAAGAGACCATGATTGCGTCTGGAATGTGTCACCCGGATTGGGCCATGGTCCAGTGGGCCAGAGAGCCCCTCTGTTCCCTCGAGTAAATGCCCATGACTCGCGAGGGTCCGGCAGCCATGGCCTCTGATTACTTTCCTCTCACCTGGACCCAGTGACCTAGAGGCAAGCGTTTCGGTTTTCACCTGGGGCCTCTTAGCGTTTGCCGCAAAGCAGTCCTTTGGAAAATCGATGCTGTCTTTAGCCACGGAACTTTTCCTTCAATGGCAGTCTTAGGCAGAAGCCTATGTCATAAAGCAGGGTGTCCGAACCTCGGTACTGTGGACACGAGGCTTGATATGTCTTTGTTGTGGGGCCTGTATTGTGCATCTTTGAGATGTTTAGGCGCATCCCTGGCCTCAACCCACTAGCTGCCACTATCCCTTCCTTGCCCCTCCCAGTCGTGGCCGCCAAAAATGTCTCCAGACATTGGCTGGGAGCGGAAAATGGCCTCTCCTTGAGAATCAGTGTATTAACTGAGAATAAAGTGGAGGTAATTTACTTCAAGTAGGGACGGGAGCCTGGAGCCCACCTCTGACACTTGCCCGCCTCATCACACGCAGTCCGAGCACAAAGCTGCAGGTCTCTGTGCCTGAGTGGACACATAGACTTAGTCCCACTGACCGTTCCTGGCATCGGACGGGGGTGTCCCCGAGAGGCCCCTGCTGTGTGGACTGGTGCAGGCTGTGGTCCTGACAGGGTGACCAGTGACTGCCTTGCACAGGGTTCAGGCGCCTCACCTTCCTTTAAACATGATCGTTGTTCACTGTGTTTCACGTGACAAAATAAAAGCCCGATGAAGACAACCTGGGCACCCCAGGAAAGCACACGAAAGGAGAAGTCACACTTGTAATCGCACTAGGCCCAGGTACCCAGTCTACACGGACAAAAGCAAGCCACACCTGCTCTCACACCTCGCCTTACTTATCATATTTTTAGAGACTGTCTCTTCTACTTAACTCCTGGGCATCCCTAATAGCATGACGCAGACAGCAGAGGTGCCATTACTGACCCTCCCGGGACTGGTACCAAGTGGTGAGTCACAGGAGGTCTTGACAGACGCCCTGTCCATGTCCTCGCAGATGCCAGGCCCCGCAGTGCCCTGGGAGCCCGCTCCGAGCAGCCATCTCTGCACCCCCTGAACCTGCTTGTAGCTTCTCCTCAAACAGCTTCCCCGGGGGTCAGGGATGACAGGTGTACTAGCCCTCCTGCCACGTGGACTCTTTCTCGGTGACTGCTGAGAAATGACAACTTCCAGTAGAGCCCTGATGCCATTTTTAGCTTGAAAACTGAGAAAGGATTGCTTAGCTTCTGCGAGGCTCAGGGTTAAAAATAGTGGTCACGGCGAGCGCTTCCTGACGACCGACTGTAGCACCGTCTTTCCGTTTTCGTGTCATCCTTATGCTGGAAGTCTTCTGTTATTCCCATTTGACAGGTGAGGACACCAAGGCACAGACAGGTGAACTGACCTGCACAGGATACATAGATAGAGGCAGCGGTGGGACCCATGTGTCCCAGGCAGGGGTCAGCAACCTTTTTCTATAAAAGGCCAGAAAGTCGGTGTTTCAGGCCTGTCTGCAGCGCCATCTTTGCAACGTAGCCATAGGCAATAGTAAATGAACGGATATGAACACCGGAATCGGAATCTCATATACTTTTCACATGTCATGACATACGATTCTATTATACTTTTGATGTTTGAAAAATAGGTAAAAACTATTTTTAGCTCCTGGGCTGACAAAAGCAGGCTGCAGGCTGGATTTGGCCCGCGGGCCAGAGTTTGCCAGTTCTAGAGCTCTGACTCCTAGCCACACCATTGCACTGTGGCTATAAAAGTCCCATTCCTCAATATAGGAAAACTCAGACCCATAGAGGCGGCAGGGACCACACTCTGTTGACCAGAGAGCCCTTGGCACCAAAGCACCCATGTGCTGCCCTTTAATGCCTCAGTGTGTGCCCGCGTTGGGGGACAGTCAGTCTGTGGGCATTAGGACGTGAGGGCTGAGGAGAAAGTGTGCGAATGCAATAAGGATTGACAACTCAACCATGATCGAAACACATTTATGGAATCCCCATGGGGGCTAAGGAAGATGATTTCATTTCTTTAACCAGCTTGATGGACAGCTGCTTGTGGGGCGTGGTCCTTGTCTGAAGCTGGGGTCCCGGGAATGAACATGCAATCTCCTTTGTAGTTTATATGAACTGATGGCCCAGTGAATTCCCTGGTGGAGGCGAGGGGAGGGAGAGGGGGACACAGGACTGGCACAGGTCGTTCTTCTCCTTCTGGTCCTCTTCATCTGAAATGGAGCCAGGGGCCTGCCCTAGTGGGACCAGGTCAGGTAAACTGCCTGAGACCGTGTGGCTTCCAAGAGAAGACTTTGGCCTTGGAATTTAATACCGAGCTGGCCACCTGGTCCATGTCCCCAGCAGATGCCAGTGTGTCTGGCTGCTCTGCAGGGGCCCCGAGAGAATGTGATACTAAATGGCTCTCTGCACACCTTGTCACCGTGCTGCTCTGAAATGCTTCCAGAGGCCCTGGCCACTGGCGCCCCGAGGCCTTCCTGGCTCTGGGTCCACTTGGTGGCAGATGGCAGAGCCATGGGTGTGGTGGGGCCAGGGAGGAGACGTCGGGGGGAAGGCGGCTGCCCCTTTTCTGTCCTAAGCGTGCCTCGGGTAGCTGTGTCCCAGGGTGAGCTGTCTCCTCCCTGCACCTCTTGCTAAGAGGGTGCTTAGATCTCAGGGACACTGATGGGAGAGTGAGATCGCCGGGGGTGGGTGGACAGCAGAAGCCCTTCTCCTGAGGCCTGTTGGAGCTCCTTGGCTTAGAGGCGTATGAACGGCAACCTTATGCAGCTCTAGAGCTGGAAAGAGCCGTGGTAATCAGTAGTCTGGTGTTTCTTAGCCTGGGGACCCCAGGAGCAGCAGTGGAGGATGTTTGTCCCTGGCGTTTTGTGTGTGTGTGTGTGTGCGCACGCGCGTGTGTGCGTCTGCGTGTGTATGGGGGTGCCAAAAAAATGTATACACATGACTCATATTCATCTTTTGTTATCAGTATATATTGAGTGTTACAAATTTTAATATAGTTTTTTCTCTTCTTAAAATGTGTGTACATTGTTTCGGCACCGTCTGTGTGTGTGTGTGTATATATATATATATATATATANTGTGTGTGTGTGTGTGTGTGTGTGTGTGTGTGTGTGTGTGCGCGCGCGTGTGCGTCTGCGTGTGTGTGTGGGTGCCAAAAAAATGTATACACATGACTCGTATTCATCTTTTGTTATCAGTATATATTGAGTGTTACAAATTTTAATACAGTTTTTTCTCTTCTTAAAATGTGTGTACATTGTTTCGGCACCGTCTGTGTGTGTGTGTGTGTGTGTGTGTGTGTGTGTGTGTGTGTGTGTGTGTGTATATATATATATATATATAAAACAAACTTACAGAAATCAAACCCATGCTCGTGACGAACCCTCCCTTGCTTACAACACGTTCGAGTTCCTTTGCTTTGGGTTGGACTTCATCTACTGGGTGAGTCAGTGCTGGTTTATGTAGGTTGATAAAAAGCTCTGGTTAATGCTGATTTGTATCTTGGATTAATAGGCCCGAGAAGATGAATCCGTTATTACTTAATAAATGTAGCGTGCTTGCTTGATACGAACCTCCTTAAACACGAGGTCTCGTGGGAGAAAGTTCTAAAAGGAGATCTCGGTGGTGAGAAGGGAGAAACTGCTGACTTAGTGCGATCCTCTCTCTTTACAAGTGAAGACACAGGAGGCCCAACCAGGTCAGCGCTGTTGCTTGAAGCCACGGGATACTTAAGTCACAGAGATGGAGCCAGAATTGACTGCTTGAGTCTCACCCCTTTTCCGTGACACCCTGCTGCCTCCCCGGTCCCTCCGTTGTCCCTTCCCGGTGGAGTCGGTTCTGCCAAGTTAAGCCATGGTGTTCTTGAACTCTAGAGGGATTGGGCTGTGGTCATCCTGATGGGGTGTCAGCGTCTGGACCTTGAGGCATCCTGAGGCGGGTGTGTGTTCCTTCTGGGCTTGTCCACCCAAAGCCATGCCTACCGCAAGCCACCCCCGCCTTCTTTTTTACCACGTCGCTTATATTGTCTTTACGGGCAGGAACTGCCCTTAGGAAATCCTACAAAGGAAACCGAAGGAGAGGGGACAGAAGGGAGCTAAGTCACAAAGACCAACAGGGCGATTGAGTTTTGAGTATTTAAAGAGTAGAGTCTGTCTGGAGCTGAGGGGGCGCGTTAAATACTGTCCACGGGCCAGGCGCTTTGGGTCTCACAATGGTCACGTCAGGCTGGCAGTGTGCGTGGGACTACTCAGAGGAAGGGACCAAGGCTCAGAGATTTTCGGTGACCGGGCGGAAGGCCTGGCTCGCGCGTGGCTGATCCGGGATGCAAACCCAGGTCTCTGGCTCAAAGGCCAGTGCCTTCCCCGTGACCCCCTCAGCTGACCTGAGCCCTGTGTTTCTCCCTCTCCCTCCCCCCGCAGACACATAGAGAACTGGCGCGGCCTGCACACGCTCAACGCCGTGGACATGGAACTCTACACCGGCCTCCAGAAGCTGTGAGTGCCTGAGGCTTGGGAGAGGCCTCCAGGGTGGGGGTGGGGGGGTCCGCCTGTCCCTTCTGGGGCAAGGCTGCTGTCTGCACTTCCCTGCAGTGGGTCCCCCGTCAGTAGAGTTGGCACCGCCCACTTAGGAAATGTCTAGGGCCTTCAAAGCCCCTCACTCTCCCACATTCACCTCAGCCTAGACCGCATGAAGTCTCACTCTGTGGTTCAAGTTTCAAGGCAGGACCCAAACCCAGGTCTCCCAGGCTAGCGTTCCCGCCTCAGCCCTCTGCTTGACTCCTGGTCCCCATAGAGCATGAAGTGTCCCTGCCGCCTCCTCCTCTGGGCTTCAGTGCTAGTGACTGTGGGGACTTGGGGGGAGGTGGGGGGAAGAGGCACAGACGGGGCCTGTAGCCCTTGGGGCAGATTCCTGAGCAGGTGCCTGTTCTTCTGCACTTGCCAGGCTGGGTAGAGGACAGCGGCCAGCACTGCCCACGCACATCCCAAACCGTCCCCGGGTCCCAGTGGGTATGAGCCCAGATGCCCCCCACTTGGCACCCCCAGCAGGACCACCTTGTGAGACTGATGATGAGACATGCGCTCAGCTCGCCGAGGCGGCTGCAGGTCCAGTCTTGGCCTGACCTCCTGTCAGCCTCAGCCCAGAGCAGATGCGCCTCTGCCCCGCAAGCTCTGCTGATCCTCCTCTTGTCTCTCCAGGACCATCAAGAACTCAGGACTTCGGAGCATCCAGCCTAGAGCCTTTGCCAAGAACCCCCACTTGCGCTACATGTGAGTAGAGCTGGGTCCTGGGCCTCGGGGGGCTGGGAGGCAGGGGGCCTGGGATCAAGACCTGGATTTGCCACCGTGGGCCCCAGGGCAAGTCCCTGACCTTCTCTGGGCCTCAGATTTTGCCTTAAAATGAGGGTTGGGGATTTGGTGATCTGTTTCCTGCCGGAGGGAAAAGCCTAGTACCAGGGTTTAGAAGGACGGGGTCCTGACCCCCAAGTTTGTTCACTTTTCATGATGAAATGTGCAGTTTTATGGGAATGTAAATGATAAGAAATTCCATTCCTGCAGGCTGTGAGTACTACCCTTCTGAGACCCTTTGTGGGACCATAGCGTGTGTGTGTTGGGGGGGGTGTGGGTGGGCGTGGGGGTGGGGTCGCAAGAAGAGGGAGAGCGGGGCCAGACTAGACGTTACACCTAAGTAGGTTTTGGACGTAATGCAGAAGAGCCCAGACACGTGGAGACGCCTGTCTATGAGGTCACACCGCTTGGTTTGGGACGAGCTGCAGGTCACATGGCTGGGGGTGGGGTGGCTGTCTGTGCCCCCCTCCCCCACCTCTTCCCTTCGCCGACCTGCCTTGCCCGATGGTGGAGGGGCCTCCTCAGCGTTGGCTCCGGCAGACCTGTGGGGAAACTCCCATGAGCTTGGTGCTTCCTCTCCAGGCCTAGTTCCGGGCTGAAGACTGGGATTCGATGGGAGGACCCCATTTCCAGGGAGGAGGTGGGCTTGAAAGGAAGCTTAGGGTGGCCGATCGGGGGAATCACCAGCCTACGGCGCCCACGGGATGCCTGCTGCCAGGATAGTGGCCCCCGTGACACCCACTGAGACTACTCCCTGAGAGCAGAGCTCCCACGGGAACCAGGGCGGTGGAGCTGCTGTGTGAGGGGAGCAGTGGCGCCACGATGTGCGCACAGGTCTTTGCTTCAGCCACCTGAGAGCTGTAGGCAGAGGCACTGGGCATTTGATAACAGGGGGGCAGCCGGACAGGCGGGAACCTCAGGAGGAGGCAGAGCATCGCAAGGGAAGCTCTTGGGAAGTGGCGGGAGGGGAGGTAGAGAAAGAGAAGAGATCACGGAGAACCGTGGTGGGGACAGGGGTCCCGGCCTCTGTGTTTTCCCAAGCACAGAGTGAGTGCTCGGTAAGTATTTTTGTTAGCAGTTACGACCACCCCTGCTTCGGGCCGAACCTTCTTTCCTCCGCCTGGAAACAGCACAGAGCATGGCGGTTGCTCAGGGCCCGATGCGTTAGCGGCGGGGGGGCCGAGACCTCCCTCTCGGCGGCCTCTGTGCTGTCGGCCCCTTGTCCTCGTCCGGCCTCTGTGGGGCAGCTCTCCAGATGCGTGTCCTTGGCAGCTGGCGGCATGGCCAGGGCCAGAGGAGGACCTTTGA